GAGAGAGAGAGAGAGAGACTAGATTTGCAACATAGATTAATATGAATTAACTTTTGTGGTGACATTATGTCCAATTTATCTAATTGAGCAGTCAAATGCAAGCTATACATTACACCTTGTTGTCTTTTTTTGTTATCAAATCTCGGAAACTGCGGTCACACACATAGACAGTCATTTAACAGTTGGTCAAGTCATTCGTGCAGAGAGATTCCAGCACCTTCCCTCACATTTCTGTCTGGCAGCAATTACTCTGGTGATGAATTCAGAGCCCAAGCCAAAAACCAGACACACACACATTTGCAATTCCCACAAAAAGCAAGAGAGGCTACTTTTCAATGGCTTCTCAATGCCTGAAAGCTTTCCTACTGTTTATGTAACTCTTTTGCTTACTTCTGCAGGTGCATGTTGGCTTTTCTTCACTCGAATTGATGAAATTAAATATGCATTTAAGGAATGTGATATGACTATTAAAATAGCTTTCATTGCAATAATACATTGTATTCAGGTTTATTCTTTCATATTAGATCATTCATTTGCCTTTAAAGGTCTAATATTTGGAATAATTATTCTCACCAAGCCTGCATTTATTTGATTCAATAAAACAGTAATATTGTTAAATATTATTGTAATTTGAAGGAAATTAGATCTAATTGAATATATTTTGATATGTCATTTATTTCAGTGATGCAAAGCTGAATTTTCAGCATCATTACTCCAGTCTTCAGTGTCACATGATCCTTCAGAAATCTTTATATATGCTAATATGCTGCTCAAGAAACATTTCTGATTATTTTGATTGTTGAAAACAGTTGTGCTGCTTAATATTTTTGTGGAAACCACATGGAAAGATTTTTTCAGGATTCTTTGGTGAATAGAAAGTTCAAAAGAGCAGAATTAATTTTAAACAGAAATCTTTTGTAACACTGTAAATGTATTTACTGTCACTTTTGATCAATTGGATAAAAGTATTCATTTCTTTAAAAAAAATAAACATTTAAAATGTAGTGTATCACCGTTTCCACAAAATATGAAACAGGACAACACAGTGTTTTATTTGTATAGCAAAACCAAATTACTTAGCATTATTTAGAATTTAGAAAATGATCTGAGCTGAATACATTTTTTTTTTAAAGTGAAAGTGACAGTAATATTGTCCTACAAGTTTTTTTTGTTTTGTTTTTTTCACTGTCATATTAGACTGATCATAGTTAAAGTCTTGATTTTGATATGTAGGTCTGAAAGAGCAAAATCACAACAAAACTGAAATGTACGGTTATTCAATAATGAACATACTATTTGCATTAGACAGACTTTACCTTGTCAACAAAACAATTAAAATCAGCTATTATTTTCTGCCTGGTGCGCATCTCTATTAGCTTCTCCTCATTTCCCAAAGGTGTTAGACATGTTTCATAAATACACTTCAGATTCTTCTCTCTCATCGTCTCACTGTCATTTTTAACCATTTAATCCACTTTAGTCACTCTTGCGTTCCAGTCAGTGCTGAGTGATGATTGTACAAGGAGTAGCCGCAGACAGTTCTTTCATGATTCCAGCTAATGATCTCAGGGAGTGCTGTTGTTTTGCACAACTCTGAAACATGATTTCTAAATCAGTCATCTTCAAGATCATGCAAACCCTATGCAAAGTGCCCTGCCAACATATGAACGCGCGCACGCACCATCAATGACCATGGACTGTCTACGCAAGAGGAATGAGGGTGGACCACAGAAAACAGTCCCGGGTCTTCCAGTAGCCTGGAGCACAGATTAACAGTCTTTATCCTACAAAGCACACCTACCTCTTCCTCTGACCCAGAATCCCCCCCTGGCCAAAACATGAGTGGAAAAAGACAAATCCTGTTGTAAACATTGCTGTTTGCAAGACCCAAGCACATACACTACCTGTCAAACGTTTGGAATAATTACGATTGTTTAATGTTTTTGAAAGACGTCTCTTATGCTTGCTAAGCTTGCATTTATTTGATCAAAAATAGAGTAAAGACAGTAATATTGTGAAAATACTGTTGTCTATTTGAATATATTTTGAAATGTAAAGCTATTTTTATTTACTCTATTCTTCAATGTCACTTGATCCTTCAGAAATCATTCTAATATGCTGATTTGCACAAGCTCAAAACGGTTGTACTGCTTAATATTTTGTTGAAATCATTTTACAGGATTTTTGGATGAGTAGAACGTATAAAGAACGGCATTTGTTTGACATAGTACATTTTTCTAACATTATACATTTTTAACTGTCAACTGATCAATTTAATACATCCTTGCGAAATAAAAGTAGTAATTTTTTTATATACAATAAATAAGTAAAATGTTTTAGGTGTTTTGAATGGTAGTGTATCACGGTTTACACAAAAATATTAAGCAGCAAGATCTGATCATTGATAGAATATTAAGCAACAAGATCGTTGATAATATGAAAAGTTTCTCGAGCAGCAAGTCAGCATATTAGTGTGATTTCTGAAGAATCATGTGACACTGAAGACTGGAGTAATGATGCTGAAAATTCAGTTTTGCATCACAGGAATAAATTACATTTCAAAATATATTTTAATATTTTAATATAATCACCATAAAACTGTTTTACTGTATTTTTTATCAAATAAATGAAGGCTTAGTGAGCACAAGAGACTGCTTTCAAAATTGTAAAAAAAATAAAATAATAATTAATTTCAAACTTTTAAACGGTAGTGTAGCTAGCCACTGGAAATTTTGAAGCAAAAATTCTGATAATAAAAAATTAGTACAAATACTAAGAAATAGATACAAATATTAACACTTTTTCTAAATAATTTTGTAAAAATATTGAAAATTCCCGTTGATGTGGTGTAACACATTGACGAAAAGGTGATGTGAGAAGTGACGTAAAGATGGATAACGCACAACTGATTCGAATGAAAAGGAATGCTGTCACTCCACCTCACTGGACAATGATGGACTTAACAGGACTTTAGCACGGTCCAAGATTCACACGCACACTTCCACGCTTACCTAGGAAGGTTTTCCATCTTTTCTGGTCTCACACACGCACATTCACAAAGACGTATGTGTGCAGGGCAGCAGACGCCAGCCAGTCTGGGCCACGTTCTGGTGTATTGTTATTAACGTTCAGTCTCGTGTGTATTAAGGCACGGTGAGGACACATCCCTGCACTATGACTCCAGGGCTCTGCTTTGTTCTTCTCCATAACACAGGCATAATTACAGCCTTAAAGAGCGTCTACCTTTCCTTCTCACCCTCTCCACTCTATCCCACACCCCAGACCGTAACAACAGGTATTCACAGGGACCTGCTCTGGCTTCAACTTTGCTCTCAAGTTCACTTTGCTGCATTGTACTCATGCATGTGCTTTGTGAAATACAGTCAGTTCACCAAAACCGCTCTTGCTTAACTTAGAATATTGCATATGCAGTGCCTATGAAAAGTGTTTGGACATTGAAGAAACAAACTAAATGTATGAATGTCATTGCATTCAATAATTAAATCTCAAGCCAAATGGCATTTATTTTCCGCTTTTAAATGATAAACTTACTTTTGAAAATTATTTAGACGTGAGGATAAGGTCATCATTTTGTTTGATATTTTATTGTCAGTGCATACCAAATTCGTAGATTGTAACTTAGGTCAATGTTTTTATATTTGGACGTATAACGGAGTATTTAAAAAAATTGTACTTCCGGGTCGTACAAGTTTCGGAGAGTTTTTTTTTCGATAGTGGCTCTTCGTGACGTAGACAAGGGTGGAACTCCTTATATGGGCATTTCTCCCAGAAGAGCGCGCCCGCGCACGCATGGACCAGAGTGAGAGCGAGAGCGAGATCGTGCCCATCAACGCGCTTCATCCAGCGGCAGCGCTGCATGGGACTTGCTCGGGAAGCATGTCTCCAATCCAAAGAAGTATGTTTTTGGTTGTAAGGGAAAGATAACTTTGTTCAGCTTCCTAAAGAACCCAGCGTTATGTAAACAGTGGATACAGTTTGTTTTTGCGGGGCAGCAACGGAGTTTCACAAGTGTGTTTGTTGACAAACGTTTTATAAACAAGGCCCAGTTCGACGCTGGATTTGCACATCATTTGATACTGAAAGATGGAGCGTTCCCAGCTATAAAACATCCCGGTCATGATTCAGAACTGCAGACGGTAAGTGAAACGGCATCAAATGTCTGTTTTGTTGGCATTCGGCGCCCAAGTGCTCGTCACTCTTTAGCTCCGCCCACGGCACGCCTCCATTAGCTCTGCTTTTTCCGGAGAGAATCGTAAAGCTGTATCTTTCTTTTATAAATATGATAAACTAAAGACTTTTTGGAGATATGAAGGATGCAGTACTACTCTATAGGTACTCAAGATTAACATGAGACTGGGTGAAACTGTGTGTGTTATGCCCCCTTTAAGACAACCATTTTCTATTGTAAAATATGCAAACTAATTATATTTTTATTCCTGTGATGGCAAAGCTGAATTGTCAGCAACTTTTTTCAGCAGTCAATTTAATGCATCTTTGCTAAATAAAAGTATTCATTTCATTTTATATATTTACCCCAAACTTCTGATTGGTAGTGAATTGTGTTTGTTTTTAACATTTTAAACATTTTGATAATAAGTATTTTTGAGCAACATAACAGCATATAAGAATGATTTCTGAAGGATCATGTGACACTGAAAACTGCAGTAATGATGCTGAAAATTCAGTTTTGCATCATAAATTACATTTTTAAATATATATAAAAAACTGTTATTTTACATTGTAATATATATATATATATATATATATACACACACACACACAGCCTTGGTGAAAATAAGAGACTTGTTTCAAAAACATGAAAAAATAGTAATTATTCCAACCATTTGACCGGTAGTTTGTAAAAATGTTACTTTTACAGTAACAGAACTGATAAAACTCTCCTCTCAATGAAATTGTCATGTCACATCCTCACTGTAATTTCAGAGAATGTAGTTTAGCCATGACAATAATTTGTGGCTATGTTTTGGTCCATTGGCCTTGGAGACCACGAGCTGCCATGGCTTGGGTCTCAGCCCACTGTGGTCCCCTACGGCCCCAGAAAACTCAGCTGCGATGAGAAACACGACCAAACTGAACAAGTGGCACACCAGCACTTCAGCAACATATGGAAGTTGCTTCGCTTTAATGATCATACTCTGAGACAGACAGATGAAGAGGGAGGTATCGCTGCAGTCTCTTGCTTGTGATGGCTGGGATGTTCAGGGTGTGATTAAAAATCACATGTACTGCAGGTTTTTTAGAAAGCTGAGCAATAATTATGTCAAACCTGGCAGGTTTACAGGGCAACAGTAAAGCAGATTACAGAATGATTTTGCTCATTTAATCTCTTTTTTGCTTGCTCTGCTTCTGCATATGTTTACTGTGTGCGTGTCAGATCAATCATTGTGACTGATTTTAAATGGTGCATGTTTTTCAGGCAGTTCTTTCATATCTGTAAAAATGTATGATTTGCAAATGTTAACTTAAAGAGTTATTTCTACCAGATTTCACCCATAAAATTTAGTTTTGGTGGTAAAAATTCATGTGTTTAGGTTGATTCAGTTATATTAAATCATATTTTTAGGTTTCAGGGTTGTTGCTTTTTTTTTCAGTGTTGAGAGAAATGCACAATTCACTACACAAGTCAGTCTAACTCTCTGTAATTTCTCAAATATATCTTTTTGGTATGAAATTCCCTTATTTGGATGCTAAATATTAAAATAGATCTACTGCTTATTGCTAAATTGTGTACATTTTTTTGTGCACAAGTTTGTTGTGGTAAATCAAGTTTCTTGTTAAAATTATTATATAATCTCTCACAACCACCCACTCTGTTTTTTTGTTTTGTTTTGTTTTTTTCATTTTTAATTCAAAATGGTATAGGAAATGTTTTAATTCAGTAGAGGAAAGAAAAAGAAAAAAAAACATACTAGTGTGTGTTTTTTTATGCGTGTATTGCTCCAGTGGCAGAAGGTGTAACAACCCTGATGATATTTGATATTTATGTTTTTTTGTTGTGTGGATATTTGGCTACATATCAAATTAAACAAAAGAAGCAGCAGTTCTGTCATTTAACACCCAATAACATGGTCACAAATCCGGGCATGAGATTTTACTTTCTTTTTAAATTTAATTTTTACACAGACACCTAAAACATACTGACACCTCATGTTGCCATTTATGGTAATTATTTCACCCCCATGGTTCATTTAAAACTGGTTAAGCTGACTCTTAGTATTCATCCCGTCTACAGTCTCCGTGTTCCGCTCAATTACTAGGCCTGAATTCAAACAAAAATAACTGTAAAAATAATAATACCACTAATAATATAATATAATATGTCTTTTTAAAAGATCTTAAAATAATACTGGCAGATTGTGCGTATGAATTCTTCATTGTTGTAGGTGTGTGTGTGTGCTGTCATGCGCTCAAAGGCTTGTCAAACTCTGACTGGATTAGGCTACAAAGCGCGTTCATCCTCCCGCAGAAAACACCAGCTCCACTTTTACTGATTGTTTTACAAAAAAAAAAAACGCAATGAGGGGATTCCTTATAACTATTTTATTATTCGTTATAAAAATAGTTATTGTCTAACTCAGAAATAGGCATATTTTAATTGAACTGAACTTTAACATTTCCGCTTGAAATTACAGTAGGCCTATAGTAGCCTATATAGCAATATACACTCTAAAAAATGCTGGGTTAAATATTAACCCAGCGCTGGGTTATATTTAACCCAGCATTTTTTAGAGTGTAGCTTAATCAACAATTTAGCCAATTTTGCCTTCGTGGTTATCAGATGTAGATTAAAATACTTCCATGCCGGACGTGTTTGATAGCATAAGGGAGATCGGGGCAGGTTGTCGCATCTATATCTAGGCCCTATGACTAATTTTAATAGCTCTTACACTCATGAACCCAGTAAAAACAGGGGTTAATTTATGATGTTAGCTTTAGTTGGCCGAGTGCGAGAGGTCACGGGTTCACTTCTTACTCGGTTAAACACTTCGTTTTCTAATAAACTTTTAATAAACTTGTAATATTTACAGCTGTATGCCAGTTAATTTATAGCAGCGAAATATCAGCGCTTGGTTGCATTTTGTGATTTCACGGTCCGATGAGCGAAAAACAGCTGCTGTTAGGACTGTGCTGGTTCTTCAAATAAGGGAACTTTTTCTGCCTCCTTGGATGATTTTAAAAATGTTAGAAAAACCAGTAGGTCTAGTTTTAATTTATTGAGTATTATACATTTAAAATAGTTCGTTGTCTATTTGTTTGATAGGTGAAATTTACCGGATTTTTTTTTCTTCTGTTTGACGTATTTCCCAGACCTTTCCTTTTAAATGTATGTAAAACAAAACCTAAACTCTAAATTCTTACGTAGACTAAAAGCACACACACTTCCAGCTCATTCGATATTTATGTGTAGACCTGTATATAATTCGTATTTTAATGTAAATATTCGCTGTACCCAATACTTTCATTAGCCTATAAATATTTTAAAGCACAATTCGGAGTTTCTCCTTTTTTTGCTGGTCCACTTTCTAAAAGTTCCGGGTGCTTACATGCCTTACCAGCCAAACAACCACAGCAGTACTCTGGCGCACACGAGGGCTGAGGAGACGAGTGAGTATCCTCATGAAACGTCAAAGTGTGAGGTTTTGGCATTTGTAATCAAGTTTGCTAATGCACTTTTCAATAGCCTATATCTACAGAATGCAATGACGACAAAAAAAAAACTTTATGCATGCATGTTTCATAATTTGATTCATATCTGTCATGGCTAATACATATTTATTGCATTTGTATCAGTAGCTACTTTAATGCACACTGCATTTTAAATAAATAACAGATTTAAGAAAAAAAGCACACATGGTCTAATTTATTTTACAGACCAAGGGTTTCAGTGAACTCGGAGTAAATCAGTTGCAAATGGCAAACACAAAAGTCTGTGTATTGCAAGGTCCTGACCTTTTATTTTAACAACTTTCATTAAAAAAAAAAAAAAAAAACATTTTTCTTTCTTAAGCTTATTGGGGATTTGTATTTTGAAGCTTAATTAACCTCGTTTTTCCTGGCAGGCCTCGAACTTGATTTAAAAACAACATTAAAACGTTTATTTCTTAAAGGGAACGTAAGGCTGCCATTAATGCAGTCGTCAGAAATGTCATTAATATCGAGACTGCACATTGTTCACACTGTATCAGCTCATCGACAGTAGAGCTATACACACAATATTTGTAGGCTAGGCTATATCCATTGTTAAAATAGGTATGTTATGTAATTACGCACGTAAATATATAAAGCTAGCCTACTAGATTATAGCTGCATATAATATTGTGTACGTCCACCTTTGCAGCGAAAAAGCCTTTCAAATACTTTTTCAATAGTAGCCTAATATTATTAATTCTTCCAAAAATGACGTTGTTTGCTCTTAGGTTCAAGTTTAGGCTCGACAGGCCTGTAAACTTTAAAGCGACGTTAATTATGGTTTACTGATGTTAAAAATGATGACCCATAATATTAATGTTATTAATAAAACACCTGATAAATCTCCTATTTGGCTGCTGTAAATCAAACAGACAGTTACAGCTCTTTGGTGCGTCATAATTTACGATTTTTCTCACACAGTTAGTAACCTGCTTGTTTGCAGACATTTATCCATTTATCCGTTTACTGTGTCATAATGCTGTCGTTTTATTTCGTCTGCATGCCTGAAGACCACGAAAAGCCAGCGGTCATTGAGAATGGTGAAATTCGCCTTAATGGCAAGGGGAAGAAGATCCGCAAACCGCGAACCATTTACTCCAGTGTTCAGCTGCAGGCGCTGCACCAGCGCTTCCAGCAGACCCAGTACCTCGCGCTGCCCGAGCGCGCCGACCTAGCCGCGACATTGGGACTGACGCAAACACAGGTAAATGTCCAGCATCTTCGCTTCGGTTTAGGACCATACAACTGTGTTCCTCCTGCTCGCTACGAGGCCTTGTTAATACGGCAGGACGAATTGCAGAGCAGATGTGGAACACGATTACGGGTTAGGCTACATTATATTAGGTTATGTATAGTATGATCTAGGGATGTAACGGTATGAAAATTTCTTATCACGAATATAGTGACCAAACGTATCACGGTTATCAGTATTATCACGGTATTTTTAACGTGCTGGAGATGTTCAAAAAGTTCTGACACATAAATCACTTCAAGTTTTATATTTAAAAATCAACAAACAACAAATAAAATTACTTTTTGTTTGCATAATCACTAAAACAAAAACATTACCAATGATGTTTGGATTTTAAATGACAACTTACTTGACTGACTTCAAATATCTAATGTTAAATGTTCAAATAAAGCTTTGAAAAAGTTTCATATAAAGGTAAACCTCACATTTCAGCCTTTAAATAAAGAAAAGGGTTAAGTCAAAATGATAATTGATTAATACATTATTATATGTATTTTATCTGCTCCATAAATAATTCTAAATAACTTATCTGAATTGTTTAAATGTGTAGAATCCACATAAGCTTTTTCATCAACCGGTCAAAATTTACAGCAGGGCTTGCAAATTCGGTCCGTTTTTGGCCAGACAGAAACTGCACACAAACTGAATGTAAATACAAGTGTCTGTAAATCCACTCGCTGACAGCAGGTGGCGCTTATGGAAAAGCTGAATTACAGCTGTTTCCCGTAAACTCCGTGGACAAAGCAGTATTGCGATTAATTCCTTTAGGTATTCAAAAATTGAATTGAACATTGAACGTTCGTTCAATGTTTGTCTTTAAAATAATTTTCAAGCACAAAAACATTATCTGTACATCACTGGAATTATTTTTTTTTAATGTTGAAAGTCTCGTTCAACGAAACTTTCGAAAAGTTCCAGTTTCGTTTTTTTACGAAAAGATGGATTTTGAAGTATGTGTAACGTTTTAGTTGAACGTTCCTCTAGCGTTTTTTAATTTTTTTAAGTTTCAGAATGTTCAGAGAGCATTCAAAAGGAACGTTCCCTTAATGTTTGCAATATGATAACGTGGAATATTCACTTGGCCTAATGTTGACAAAAAGCAGTTTTTAAGAACATTTTAAGAATCGGACATTTTGAATATTCAGAGAACATTCAAAAATAATATTTTCTAACAAAATGCTCAAAGAAAATATTTTGTTAGCTGGGTGGGCGCCGTTCATGAACCACGGGAAAACAGGAAAAAACAAATGTGCATTTTAGCATTTTAGCATTTTCCATGTTATATGTTGTTTTAGGGCTGTCTCTAACATATTTAGACACTTGAGCATGCAAGTTTAAATTATTATTATTATTATAAAGTACATTTTGCTTTAAAATATCAAATCAAGTGGCATTTATAAAGAAATATAGCACTAACACCCTTACAAAGAAAAACTTTTTAGATTATTTGGAAATGATTCGGTAATTGAAAAGTACGCTTGATATTGGAATATGTTAATAGTTAATGTGATGAGCTGCGCTTGTGGTTACTCTGATAGTCGTACTGATTCGTACATCCACTAAAAATCACCAGAACACCAGTCATTTTGAAAGTGAAGTTACTTCTGTGATAGGTCTAGCGTAATGCAACTGCAAATGCCGTTTGGTTTTATATTTCCTATATAATGCAATAATGTCAATGCATTTTTAAGCAAGGCTCAAGTACTCAAATACCTGCAAATCTGTCTGAAAGTAATTATGCTGAGGTGAGGCTTTAAGTCAGTATCATACTGGATAAACATTCAAATGAGACCATGATGAGTCAGTCAATACCGGTTTCTGAGCATTTATGTGCTTTGTGTCATGTATACGCAAGTAGGCCGATTTGTTTCACTATTGTTAAAGCTAAGTGAGGATTTCGTTAAATCCGACCTTTACTTTCATTTTTTAGTTAGCACACTAGCTTTTGTGTTCTTAGTCTTTACAGTACAAGATAATATTTTATCCCAAGAATAATTTACTCTTGATTGCTTAAGCCTTATGCTAAATAATAGATATCCAACCGCTCACTCATGTGATTGATTTCACAAAATACGGTCATTTCTGGGCCAGCGGATGAGATGAATGAGCGCTGATGAGTTTTAGGGCCATTTGCTCAGTCAGAACCTTCTGTATGCGTTCTCTTAGGGAAAGTTAATTGATTTATAAGTCATATGCCTGTGCTTGTTATGTTGATGTCACACCCATTAATGAGTTCCTGCTGGGTGGTGTTATGGACTTTGATTTATTTTTATAAAAATCCCTCCTGTTGACACACACATGCAGGAATGAACAGTAAAATATTAAAGCATGCATCTGAAAAGTGTATGTGTGTGGAGAAATATGGAAACCAAACATAAGCCTGGGTGCAACCATATTGCCCATAAGCCTTCCCATTATTCCTGTACTGTTTTTCATTCACAGCTTTCCTTCTTCGTTTCTCATATCTATGTTATACACTTGCCGCCCTTCGTGTGACAGGTTGCACCTCGTTTTTGGCCATGGAGAATGAGTTCAGTCTCTCTCTCAGCTTTAAGGGCTTTCCTGTCTGATTACGCCTCGGTTTTCATCAAAGTCTTCCGGTTGAGAAACGCTTCTTGCATTCACCTCAGACAGTGGTTGCAAATTCACTGTTTGGAATTCAAACCTACTACAGTGATACAGAATGTATTCAATATTGGTGGCAGCGATTTGAAGTCCAGAGCATCGCTGGCAGTTTCCATTTGATCCATAAATGTGATTGAAGGCACATAAACAAGTGCCACACAGCATAAGTCCCTCCTTGCGCATAGGTCTGGAATCCATCACCTCACCATAAAAGCTGTTTGGCAAACCGATCTTTGGAAATAAAAAAGAAAATCCTTTTTACACGTGTTTATTAAATCTGTTGACAGCCAAACTAAAAACCCAGTGCATAGATTTTGATTGTCTGAGGTTATGGAAACTCCATTAGGTGGGCTTTCTGACTCAGCCTTTCAGTGTGGCTGGTGTTTTTCACACAGACGTTCAGCTGAATTCTTCCGAAGGCACAATTCCGGGTCTCGCTCTTCAAGGTGTTTCTAAATTGAGTCCACATTCTGGCAAAGGAACCATAAACTCCCACATCATTAAGGACACTTCCCAAACATTGTGTGCGAGTGTATTTGCAGTGAAATAAATAGATTTCAAGCTATACGTTATATTATAATTCTAGAAAACCTTCACCACTATAATCGTCTGGTCATACAATAAAAAAATAAATAATTAAAACCTCAGGGTGCAAGGGGTTAAAAAATGTAACTAACAGATATAAGCATACTTGATTATTAACAGCACATTAAATGAAATGTTATGTTTAAATATGCAAAGCAGGCATTATTTCATTAAATCTGCATTCATTTCCAGAAGAGAAATGTGAACTTTTTTTATTTCATTTTGTTGACATTTTAAATGAGGGGATTTGGATATCAACGTTTATCACTCTGTTAACAGCAAGAAAACTGATGCTGTTTTTAGGAATAACATGTTATATAAATCTAGCAAATGAACAAACCCCTCTGTAAAAACCTTCAGAATATACATAGGAACATTTGGTGCTGCTGCAAAGTGAGTAAATGATGACAGAATTTTCATTTTTGAACAGTGCATGAAAACGATACAAAAATTCTGTCATCATTCACTCATTCTCAAGTTGTTTCAAACCTGTATGAGTTTCTTTGAAAGTATATTGGTAAGCAAACAGTTGACAGTAGCCATTTACTTTTTGACCATTGTATTTTATGGTAGTCAATGGCTACCGTCAACTGTTTGGTTACCAACATTCTTCAAAATATCTTCTTTTGTGTTCAGCAGAAGAAAAAAAACTCATACAGGTTTGAGGGTGAATACATTATGTGAGAATCTTCAGTTGTGAGTAAACTATCCCTTTAATGATTGGTGGGTGACTTTTGCATCAATATGTACCAACTCCACGCTAAATGTATTCCTGATTCTTTTATCAAAATCTTCCAAGCAAACTCTCTGGAAGTAATTTCAGTTCGACTAAATCTAAGCATATTTTTACGCTGTGATTGTTGTTGTCAGACACATGCTTCACTGCCTTCATAAAAAATGGCAGGGCGGAACAATTGCTGAGTACGTGTGTAATGAAACGCAGAAATGTCACTGAGTCCATCTCAACAAAGACCGTTCAAGCTGTCTGGCAAATTCTTCAGTGTCAATATCATCATAAAAAAAGGGTGTCATAAAAATAGACCTCTTGAAATAGACCTCTTGATGTCTTGAAAGCTGTTTGATAGATTGTGGCCTGCATTCTTGTTGCAAGTATTGTAATGTTCTTTTTTTTTCTCTCTTCTGTTTGCTGAAGGTTAAAATATGGTTTCAAAACAAGCGCTCCAAGTATAAGAAGATCATGAAGCATGGCTCCAGTGGACCTGAAGGGGAGCTTCTTCACAACACCTCCTCATCCTCTCCATGCTCTCCGGGTCTCTCTCAGCTCTGGGAGGTCTCTATGGCCAACAAAGTGGCACCCATGCATCCCAGCAGTTATATGAACAATTACGGGCACTGGTATCCCCCACACCACCAGGATCCTGTGCCCAGACCTCAGATGATGTGATTGAAATTGGAAACACAGAGCCAGAGAGACTCCATTCCGTGTTGACACCTGCCTAACCTGTGAAGGTTTTTTCCTTTACGGTGTTCATATGTGTTTTATTGCTTAGTGTGTTTGGAAAGGACTGTTTTACTCCCCTGTACACTTCAGTAGCTTTTCAACCTTTTCAGATCTTTTACAATGTGCTTGAAATAAAGGATTTATGAAAGGACTATGTTATGAATGATTTATAGAAATGTTGATATTTAAATTATGATGTCCATAGAATTAAGGTATTAACGTTTGTTTTCATTTTTTTTTTAAAGGCCTGGTGCAGTCCTATGGTATGTAGCTTACTCAAACCAATATGAACAGCCTATAATAATGCCGATCATGTTTGAACAGCCGTTTTAATAATATTGTTAATAATAAACGCGAGTGAAATAGATCTATGAAGGCCTATAAACTAGCCTTCTGGAATAAATATAAAAAAATAGCACAGAACTAATGAGATTTTTTTGATTAAACGAAGCTGCCAAAATATGTGATTACACCAATTATATCAATACATCACTTATAAATTCACAGATGTTCAGGCAGCTTCCGTGTTCTACAGATTTTCGTTTTTCCCGTTGTGCAGGTGTGGGAAAACTAGAGGTTCAGATTTATGAATTATTTATGATCAAGGCATATGAATGTAAGACGATCTGTTTTTATTCGGCTCTGACCAGGATTGTTTTTTTTTTGTTGTTTTTTTAAATATCATGTCACCTGAAGCACGTTATTTGTCGAGTTCTGAGCGCTTGTTATTTTACTTTAAATATGAATGGAATTGTGACTTGCAAAAATGTCAGTAGGCCTACGTTAAACGCTGTATCCATAAGCGAAAGTACGCACACAAAAACCTTTCAGGTCCAGAGGGTCCGATTTAAATCAATTTAATTTTGGAATATTCGGAAATATTGCCAATGTAATTGTTCTGCTTTTTTTGCAGAAAGAAATTGCGCGAACAGCTGGATAGATGAGCTAACAGCTGAAATATGAATAACCAATAACAATTAGATGCTCAATGCAGCAGAAAAGATGGATTTTGAAGTGCGTGTTTCTATTCAACTACCCTTAATACCTTATTTAGTCCGAATCATAGAAATACAATTTGATCAATTCAATTATAAATACGCGACTAGTTGTCGACTTTCAAGACGTTTGTAACAAATCAGCAAACATCTGCTTTTCCACAACATGTTTTCCTCCTTTCTTTCTAAAGTAAAAATAATTCAAAGTACTGATTGAGTTGATGTCGTGATGCCACCATGATAAATCACAACAACATTCAATCAAATGCAAGAGTGAAAACATAATCAGTGCTTAAACTATCTAAATACCGCGAACAAGATGTTTGTAACGCATCCCAAATTACGCTGATGCTCATTTAATGTGATTCACCATGATTTATAGTGTGCTTATTCCTGTCGTGGTTATAGGTTTCGTATCCATTCATTTTGCGTCTAAAGAGGTCGAAAAACGCGACGCGACTTTTTGTTATTTAGGGTTCCATTTTTGGTTCCTCAAAGAACCGTTCAGTCAAAATTTCTTAAAAATAACCATTTTTTTGTAGGCTATATATAATGCTAAGTCTAAATACAGGTTTTTGGCCTTTGCAGAGCAAAAACGCATCAATAAAGATCATGAACCGTCACAAAATAAAGGGTGCAGATTTTGCTCTGATCCACTGTAACAAGATGCCACCTGGAGGAATGCGGGGTCCACTTGACCTGACTTTGACCCGACTCACTCAACAGGGTCTTGTCTAAACAGCCTTGTTTAAACAGGCATATAACAAAGCATCTCTGTCATTTCAAGCTCTTCAGATCCAACCCAATTCAGGACAGTGTGGGGCTTTTTTCAGCTTGGAATAAATCAATCACAAACTACAAATAATGTAAATTAAATTGCTGAGTGGATTTTATTATAAGATAGAATAATGCCTGCCACATGCAACTCTCATGCACAGAGCAATAATGACAAAATTCTTCCAAAACCTTTTACTGCATGAAACTCTTAATATCATGTACAATAATACACATTTATGAGCCTCCGCAACATCTGTGGGAGATTTACTGCGATGACTCTACAGTCCCACAATCAGTATTTTCTTGCTTACTTCCACAGTCCTAGTCGGAATCACTAGCTCAGAGTCACTTACCTGCTCTCCCTCGATAGGTGACAAGCCACGCTTAAAAATCCACCACGCTTCTGTAAATGGAAACCATCTCTCTGCACTTAAAGTATGGAATGATTTTAACATGCACCTCTTTATATACTCCCTTCCCAGAGTTTGATTTGTGGAGTTTATGTTGCTCGGTTTAGATGACAGTCATGGGAAGAGAAGACAAGTGTTTTTGAATGAAGTAGCGAGCCCTCACAAGGGAAATTATGGGCAATTTTACATCTCGAGATTAGAATAATGGGTGCTCAAGTCGGACAAGCAGAGAAAAGGGGCTTTCAAACAGGGCAATTATGTGGGAAGCTGATTTGGGAGGGCACTAAAGGGTGATGGGATGGACTGATAGTGGTTTAAAGAGATTTCCAGCACTTCGAGGTGCCTGGCGAGTTTTAATTGCAGTGCATCAGCGTTTGCGTAAACGAATCTTCGCGACTGGATTTCGAGGCCTGGAGTAGATTTGAAGGACAAGGACGAAACCGGTTCCCGAAATCTTTGCCGGTTTGTGGGGTGAAAGAGAGTTCAGTGGTTCACAGCTGTCAAGAAAAGCTCTCTCATTTGAACTTATTTACATTTGGAGCAGAACGATGCTGCTGAGTGAAGCCTGCGGACCTGGGCTTTGAGCGGGTGTCGGGCAGCTGCCCTCTGTCTTTACATGGCAACACATGCATGTCCCAACCGCAGTTGACCTCCTGTTCAACCACCCCAGAGGCCTCCAGTGCCATTTTTTGGATACGGTTTCTCGTCAAACATGTAAAGATTGGCCCTGCCTATCTTTATTTAGGTGTTGCGGTGCACTGAATCGTAGTATCATGTTCAAGTTCAACAGTTCAGGCACGGACGGAGCACACGGGGCCGAGGTGACCATGTCAGCCCACACACCCAGCTTGGCTACGGGTTTCTCTGAGTGAACGATGCGTCCCAAGACGACGCCACCTAGATCATAGCCCGTAATTGAAGGCCACACACCACGAACAAGCCCAACGGAAAACAGATACGTTACATATGGCCCAACTACAACTGCAAATATTGTATCAAACAGATAGCAGTCGTTTCTTTATGGACCCTGCATAGCTTCCTCACATGAAAGTGGTAAACACATTAGAGGGGATAAAATGTCTTAGGGTTTGAGCTATGGCCATTGTACACAGATGACGGGATTATCATGTTTTAAGAAGAACTAAGTGGCCTGACAGGTTTTAGGTGTGAATATGACTCTTTCTTCTCTATTGGAGGTAGGAGAGTAACTCAATCGCATGCAACAGCGAGGCGGGTATTATAAGATCTTCATGACTAATTCCATAGCTATGAAATGCCCAGAAATTACTCACAGTTAACCAACCAACCATCTTAACCATCTCGATCTATTATGCTATTAATCTAACTACAGTGGCATCTCACATTTTTTCTTTTCATCCCTGTCAGCATCAGCATCCACATCCACCTATGGATATCAAAGTGGTATTTTTGGATGCAAGATTTACAGTGCTGGTCACGCAAATGGACTGTTTATGCTTCTTGTTACTAAAGCTACAACGGTTGCTGTTAAACAGAATGAAGATTTATTTGAAAGTATTCAAACTACTTTATTTCCATAAAATTCCAAATGGGGGTTTTCAAGTTTTCATTTTTGGTTCCTTGAGGAACCTTTAATTAAAAAGTTCTTAAATGAACCATTTTTCTAAGAACCAGTTTTGGTTCCTTGAGGAACCTTTCAGTGAAAAGTTCTTAAAATAACCATTTTTCCTAGTGCGAAGAACATTTTAAAAATCTAAATAACCTTTTCCACTATAAAGAACCTTCTGTGGAATGGAAAGTTTCCACAAAGATTCTACATGTCATGGAATTGCCAATGCCAATAAAGAACCTTTATTTTTAAGAGAATTTTTGACTTTTCCCAACGTTTTGTCCTAAAGAGGCACTGCTGTGTTTGCCATGAGGTCCATGTGAGTGCCCACAAATTACTCATCTCCATATTAATATTCCCAAGAGAATGGTGGATACATTGATATTCCAATATCATAGCCTACTTTATAGGAGACATTGAAAATACATTTTAATAACCAGCCATAAACACGTAGAACCAATCTACGAACTTGGAAAAAAGTCTGTTCTAAAATACATCACTGATGAATAAAAATAATATAATATAGGCGATAGGCCTATATTTGAATATACGAATAGCTCTATTTAGGATTCCAGTCATGAAAATTCAACTTATTTGCATATTGGATCACGTTTTAGTCACAGTCCGCGTAAGGGGGTTGAATGATGAACCGCATTAGCGGTTAGTCGTATGATTCCTGCATGAAACCAGATTATTTATGGTTTCTGTGGTTCAAATTATGGTTTTGCGCCCATTCCACGTAAACCCAAAGGGCATGCTGCAAGACCTACAAACTTGAATGAAGTCTGTTTTCTGTTTTTCACAGTCATGATACAAGAAGCCGAGCGTTTTAACATGTCTTTCATCATACACGTCCCTTTTTCTGTGAAGTAGCAGATTGGTTAATTAATTAAACTACATAAAGCACAAGGTGTTCAGACAACACCTAACAATTAAAATTTTCTGAAGGTCTGATATGCGTACCGTATGTTGTTTTATTATATTTAATTGAATGTGTTAGCCTATAATTAAAAACACAAAAAAGCCGAAAGTAAACAAGCTGTCTGAAACATTAAAAGCACAACACAAGATGAATGAATGATGTTGTCGGAACACTACGTGCTAGGCCTACGTACGTTTAATTGTACAGGCATGACGCTTAAGTAATGCATGACATCTTTATAATTTCGATTTTAGTCAGGGTAACACTTTACACAATAATATCTTTTAAACATTAACCATCAATTTTCCATTATACGATTAATAACAGATCATCAATGTACACTAAAATAATTAGAAAGGTCATAAAACCGATTTCCAGTTTCATAAATGAAT